TGACAAAAACCCAACATCTATTCCTGACACAAACTATATCAGCAGACTACAAAATGAATGAATAAAGGGCATTTATTAAGAAAAAACCTATGATAATCTATTTAATAGTGAAAGACTGAATGCTTTCCCACTTACTTCCTTTAAGGATAAAAGAAGATAAAAGTATCTACTCTCATCATTCCTACTCAACATTGTACTGGAGGTTCTAGCCAGCACAAGGAGCAAGGAAGGAAGGAAGAAAAGAAGAAAGGGAGGGAGGGAGAGAAAGAGGGAAGGAAAGGAGGAGAGAGAGGGAGAGGGAGGAAAGGCATCTAGATTGGGAAGGGAGATACTAAACTGGCATATATATATATATATATATATATACACATACACATATATACACACACACATACACATACACATACATATATGAATGACTGTCTATGTAGAAAAAATCTGGTGAAGTCTACCAGAAAGCTATTAAAACTAACAAGACAGTTTAGTAACGTGGCATGATACAAGATCAACATACAACAATTAGTAGTATTTCCATAAATTAGCAACAAACAATTGTAAACTGAAATTGAAAAATGATATCATTTACCTATGAAATATGCAGGAATAAATCTGCCAAATATATGCAGGACTTATACACTGAAAACTAACACACAGTGCTGAGAGAAATTACAGAAGGCCTAAATAAATGGAGAAATATTTCCTGTTAATGCGTCAGATGATTGAATATTCTTAACATGTCAATTCTCCCCAAACTTATCTGTGGATTCAAGGCACACCAACTGGAATTCAAGAATGCTATAATGTAGAAATTGGCAAGCTTATTCTAAAATTCACGTGGACATACAAAAGACCTTGAATAGCTAAACCAACTTCAAAAAAGGACAAAGTTGGAGGACCAATAATACCTAATTTCAAGACACACTATAAAACTACAGTAATCAAGACAGTGTAAAGACACAAGCAAATCAAAGGATCGGAACAGAGTCCAGAAACAGACCCACACTTACACTGACAACTGATTTTCAATGAAGGTGCAAAGGTCATTCAGTTGAAGCAGGATTGTTTTTTCAACAAATAATGCTGGAACAAATGAATATCCAAATGCAAACAAAACAAAATTCTCTTATCTAAACCTTACACCATAAACAAAAATTAACACAAAACAGATCACAGACTTAAATTTAAAACCAACTGAATTAAGCGGGGGAGTGTACAGCTTAGTGGTAGAATGCATGCTTCGCAAGCGTGAGGTCCTGGGTTCAATCTCCTGTATCTCCATTACAAAATAAATAAATAAACCTAATAACAACAAAAAATAAAACCAACTGTATTAAACTTTCACAGGAAAACACAGGAGAAAACCTTTGTGACTTTGGAGCAAGGTTTCTTAGATACTATACTAAAGCATGATTTAAAAAAGGAAAAAATTGAGGAACTAGACTTCATCAAAATCAAAAAAGTTTCCTTTTCTAAAACTACTGTTTAAAGAATGAAAAGGCATAAGAGACTGGGAGAAAATACCACAAATCATGTATCTGATAAAGAACATATTTAGAATATATAAAGAACAGCGTGATGTCACCTACCCGAAAATGGATGGTTTTGATTTCAGAAAGGGTAGGGGGTGGAAGGATGAGAGAAAAAAGGCTTTCATTTTTCAAATGAATAATCAAAGTAAGAACTTTTAAAAAAGTTGCAAGAATCTAAAAAAAAAAATTATTTACAAAACAGAAACAGACTCATAGACATAGAAAACAAACTTACGGTTACAAGTGGGGAAGAATATAAGAAGGGGTAAAATGGGAGTTCGAGATGTGCAGGTACTGACTGATATACATAAAATAGATAAACAAGTTTATACTGTATAACACAGAGAACTATATTCAATATCTTGTAGAAGCTTATGATGAAAAGAATATGAAAATGAATATATGCATATTCACGTATGACTGAAGCATTGTGCGCTGTACATCAGAAATTGACACAACATTGTAAACTGACTGATAAAAATAAAAGAAATTTTAAAAAGATAAAAATAAAAGAAATTAAAATCCAGAAAAAGAAGTTGCAAGTAGTAGGGTATTTTAAGGAAAAAAGATGAACTACTTCCTTCTCATGAAGAGAAGAAACTGAAGGAGTCAGGAATAGGATTATAAAAATAGAAAAAATACATAGTGGAGGAGAGATTGGATACTTGGAATTAACTCTTATGGCTGCACTACATTAAGAAGAGATTTCATTCATTCATTTGGTTTACATTTGAGTGTTCATAAATAAAGGGCTTTAGTCTAATTGACCATCTGAATTAACTTCTCCCTGACTAAAGAAGTTAATGAAATAAAGCACTCTGTTTTTTCAAAAAAACCAACAAACTCAAGATAAAATATATTAGTAACTAAGGATCAGTAATACTATTTAAGGGTTATAACATATTTTAGAAGCTTCATTACAAGCTCTGACTTGGGAGCAGATAATACCATCGTAGGGGCATGAGACACAAAAAGTAGAAGTTTTAGACTTTCAAGCAAATGTCTTTAAATCAACCTAAAAATGTTTCTTCTTCGTATCTTAAAAAAAGAATGTAGCTTTACTAAAATGTTTGCACAGAAGTGATTGACATTTCTTAAAAAAATAAATAAAAAGAGTAAACGAGGCACAAAATTCAAGAGGAAAGCGGTGAGAGGCAGTCCTATGTGGCTTATTTATATATTTTGGTCAACCAACTAATAAGAAGATGTTAGAAACTGAATGACAGGGCTGCAAAGTAACAAACAAAAAATTGCCTCTGTTGATTTACTTGGGTACAATGGGCTCATTTAAGCAAATGAGAGAAATAAAGAAATGATTTTTTTGTACATACTGGGCTGTAGTATTTCCACCTTCAACTCGCCTACAGTTTTTAAGTCATGAGAAATATATCTTAATTCATCCTTACTTCTAAGAAATTATGAGTGTAGGGAAAACCCAAAGGTTTTAGGTGAACTCAAGCATTTAGACATATCTGAACTTCTCATGAAAATTTCCTCTCAGAAGCTTCTTAAGTGCTCTGTGTTCAAAAAAAGAAGCGAAGCTAACCTGACAGGCTTCAGAAGCTGGGATGTTTTGTGAGGCTTTTTTGAATTTTAACCTGGAGAGTGTTGCATGGATCGCTGTGTCATCTGAAAATAGGCATCCAATGCAGTCAGACTGACTACAGAGTCTTTCACTCACATATTACGTAGAAGTTGTAAAAAATCTTATAAAACGTGTTCAAAGAGAGAGCTGCTCCCATTTGTATAAAATATGGTTGTTGAAACATGGTCATATAGAATTTGGTTGTTGAAACAGAGTTGGTCCTCACTGATCCTGTGTATTTTTTTATATGTGTAATCTGTCTTTGAGTATACATACACTCCTCAGAGTTGGTTATTATATTATCAACTATTACGTCAAATTTTAATTGTTTGGAGACTGGGACTGAAAACATACCTGGCAGATAAAACAAAAGCAAAAACAAAAACCTGCAAGACCTGAGATGTGTGTTTGCATCATATGACAGCAGAGAGAAGGCATGGGAAGAGCAGATTAGGAAACTGGGGATCTGTGTTCTAGTACTGGGTCTGCCTCTCACTATTTCTCAGATCTTGTTTCTCCACATGTAAGAGAGGGGTTAGAATGCTGGTCTGCAGGGAAATGGTGACATAATGTGAATGACTGCACTCTGAAGTGACACAGGGCTATACATAATTATATAATCTTCAGTAGATTTTCTCTCTCAAAAAGAAAGATTTTTAAATCTACAACAAAATGGGATCTTACCAAGGAGACTAATAACACTGAATATAGTACAAAAAACAAACATACACCCCAGACGTCTGGGGATCTGAAGATTTAGGTCTTGCTTTAGTTCAAGTGCTAACATAAACATGCCCTGTGAAATGTGCACAAGGCTTTTCCCCTTAGTTTTCCTGACTGCAGAACAGAGAGCATATAGAATTTCTAAGGTATCTTCAAGGCCATGATTCTGTGACTCTTAAATACAATTTAAAAATTCTGTTTGTCTTTCATCTGTAGAATGAAAGATTATCTTGCGAAATAATGTATGGTTTTATTTGATAATTCCTGTAAATTAGACTGTCATTTTAATCGGAATTTCTGAGCTGGAAGAAACATTCTTCAAAATGTCAAAGTCTAGAGTAGGGTCAACTTGAACAAATATTTTCCTGAAGGACAGTCAGTAGGGATTAGCTGTGTGCACGTGTAAGCACGTACCTAGACACAGGGACAGTGGAGGTGGATGGGAGGGCACGACAGATACCTAAGAAGGTTGTTACACGCATGTGATAGTTGGCTAGTCATGTGTGAATATGAAGTTTGGGCTTAAAATTAGGTATAAAATGATTTTCAAAGATAAAAATTGGGAAGTATTTTGGGAAGGTTTTTGATTTTTTTTTCCTGAGGTGAAAGAGGGATTTTTCTATTTATGTATTAAGCAAGTACCAAATAAAAATACAAAAACTTTCTAGAGATATTTTAAAATTAACACCCCCAAAATTGCTCAAATACATTAAGCATTTGTAAAAATACATATAATGATAATTTTCTGGGTATTAGCTTTTTTCTTTAATGCCTCAAAATAGGCATTTCATAATTTCTTTGGCCACATCGTCTACCTGTTTTCAGTTAATGTCATTTCAAAATGTTATTCAAACAAAATAAATGACAGAATGGTCCACAAAACAATACCTCAGCATGATATTTTATTTAGTACTATTTCTTATAACTTTGCAATACATATTCTCAAAGTCTAATCGTTAAAATATTCTCCTTAAATGATCTAAACTCTTTTAGAAATCAATTATCCAAAATTTAACTTGTAGTGTGGTGTTATGAAGAGGGAAATGGAGAAACCGTCCTTAAAACACCAACATCACGAACAACAACCTCCACCACCACCACCACAACCACCACCACCACCACTATTTATCATCGGAAATTATTTAGGAGGGAAAGCTGCTTACTGTGTCACGGACTCTGAGCCCAGTCTGAAATCCTGGGACCTGACTGACTGCTGTGAAAGAAGAAGAACAGAGAGTAAGTCACAAACCTCAGAAGACAACACAGGCAATACTCACATGCTGAAAACCCACCAACTGGCTGAGTGAGGAGAGAGCATGCCCGTGCGGAACATACGTGTCTATCAGCATAATGCATTCATTCACTCCTATGAGAAGGCAAGGAAACAGTGCTCCAGGTCGGTTATGTACTCTTCGCAAATAGAGTCAGCTTTTAGGTGTGTGGCGAAGAGTTGGTTGTGAATTGGCCTAAATTAGTTTAGTAATACTATGTAATATTACTTAAATTCTAAATTTATCTTTCAGCATTGCAAATTTCCTTTATAATCTTTTCAGCATACTCTGTTTTCATGGAGATATTCACTGAACTGTATGTAAAATTTTGAATCTGAAAGCTCTTTAAATCTACTACAAAATTTGTTCAGTATATCTGCTTTATTAACAGCACCTCCATCAGGAAATCAAATAAGTGCTTTCTGTGGTGCCTGATGATATCTGAGTGTTAGATGGTTTCTCTACAGTTTGAACATTAATTCCAAATGAAAGCATACTGTGGAAAAATAGTGCCTGATATGCGACAGTGTTTTAGAAATCAACTCAATCTTGCTATAAAATAGTCTTGCAAATTTTTTAGAGATAATTACATGCTATGGAAAGGATCTACTTAAAATTCACATAGAAAATATAAACTGCTAATATGTTAAAGTTTTGAATTACATACAAATGAAAGAGATATACCATAATCACCTAATTAAATTTTTTAAACTTCAGAAAACAAAAATACCCAAAATGAAATGAAAGAAGAGGAGGACAATTTTCTCTTTCAGTCTTGAGTTCTTTGAGTAACTACTGCTTTGCCAGTCTTATCTCTACTGAAGTTTGTTTTTGCTTTTTTAGATTTCCTCCTTCATAATCAGATTTCAGCAAGATTTGGCACTGAGTATCTTCAAACAAGTATAACTTTTCTTATAAAGATTTCAAGAGGGTTTTGTCATTTTCTGGACTGCAGTTATATGATATTATTGCTAGCTATGCAGCTTTAAATCATGCATATGATAAAAACAAGAGTTAAATAACAAGAAGACATAGTGGTGAAAGGTGGATGTTGTAGTAAGTGACCCAATTCAAAGAAAGAACAATTCTTGATTTTTCTCCACCAGTGAAGATGATCTGACTCAGTTAAAATGTGTTTCGGGAAAAAAAGTATAAACACATGGAAAACTTAAATTCAAGGGCTAATTCATCTTGCAGAATAGTCTACCTGCCCTCAACTCAATAGAACAAGAAGCAAAGAAAACCATCAAAACCTCTCAGAAAGCATCAATTATAACCAAATTTCTTCTGTTTTCCCCCAGATTTATGAAATAAATTCCGAACAGAGCAATCAAATTATAGGTAAGTTTTTTTTTTTAACATGGTATAAGCATTACTTCTCTCTCTTTGCCCAAGGCAAGACCAACATCTTACCATATGTATATACAGTCGTCCCTCTTATCTGAGGGGGATTGGTTCCAGGACACTCCTGCCCTTACAGATACCAAAATCTGCAGATGCCAAAGTACCTTATATAAAATAGTGTAGTATTTGCATATAACCTAACAACCTTCTGTATACTCTAAATCATCTCTAGATTACTTATAATTCCTAATATGATGTAAATGCTATGAAAATAGTTGTAAATACAATGTAAATGCTATGTAAATAGTTGCCAGCATGGCAAATTCAAGTCTTGCTTTTTAGAACTTCCTGGAATTTTTTTTTTTTCTGAATAATTTTGATCCATGGTTGGTTGACTCTTCAGATGTGGAACCCACAGATAAGGAAGGCCGACTGTATGTGGAATGTTTTAAAACAACCGGATTAAGAAAAAAAACCCCAACATAATGGCTCTAATCAGATTTGAGCCTACTCCAGAGGCTGAGAGAAGTGACATCAGACTGAATTATACATCTCTGTTAAGTCAGTGCTACTTCTCCTTGTTTGTTGTGACCCCGACAAATGAGTAACAACATACTGCCACATGCAGGTCTTACCAAACCTGCTTTCAATAGTCTTTTCATGTGAAATGGATGCTGTGATGCTCTCAGAAAATTGAGCTTAAGTAGAGTAAACACTGTCCCTGACATCTTTCCTACTGTGTTACTCCATTACTGTTATGGGCATATCCAAGTCCTTTTTCATGATGCAAGGTTGGCTTACCCTGTGTTTGAATCCTGTCGATCACAAATTAATCTGGGAGTCACATGACAAAGTCTTAACACTTATTTGTAAAAGGACACTTATTTAATCAGGACCAATACTTCACTTCTAAACACCTTTACTCACTCATTCCTTGGTCTCAGCAGCAGCACGCCATATGGGTAGTTACTCATGGAGGCAGAAGGAGGGGGAAGAAGGAGGTGTCTCTGTGAGCTGTTTGGTTTCACTTTATCTTTAAACAAAAAAGCCCCCAAGGCTATGAGACAATCAGCCCATGAGCACCCCCCACCATCAAGGCCAAGGAGCATGGCTGCCCTTCTTTCCCTCCTGTCCACACACTCCTCTCGGACAGCTGTTTTGTGACTTCGTTTCCTCTTCACGGATACCCTTGATTTGGAGAGGAGGGGATGAAGAGAGGAAGATGAGCAAAGCAAAGGAGATGAATGAAAGGATCAGAAGGTAGAGACTCCTGCTTCCCAAACCCTCACAACTTCGGAATGATGCTTTTAAATTCAGATGCAGTGAGACAAATATGAGAGGAATGATTAATGGAGTGATTTTCAGGGCCTCTACTCATTACATGGAGATTTACCAAGAAGAAACAACTCATAAATAACTTGGTAAAAGAGAAATGGGCCATGCAAACAACTCACCCAAATATTTCTATAAACTTGAAGAATGAATGTAAAATTAGGTAAATGTGATCAACGTTTGTTGTAGCTAGCACACCAGCTTTAAATAAGGCAAACTTCAGATACGGTATAGCTCTGCTTTTACATGCTATTTATATACCTCCTGATATCTACCTTTTCCAAAGAATTAATATCTGTAGTTTTTTTCATACCCATTTTGTAGGAATTTTTTTAAAAAGAGAGAACCAATCCAACAACCAGAGCTGTTGGTTATATTTTAATCTTGGTTCTGTCATTAACTCTTTATGTGGACTGAGTAAGCCACTCAACTTCTCTTGGGGTGTGTTTCTCACTTGAAAATGGACAGGAGGTGCTCAGAATAAAAGCATGAACTATCATAGCACCATGCTCGTATTTTACAGATGAGGAAATGGAGGCCCAGAGTCACCAAGATTTCAGAAGTAGCCTGAATCCTGTTTTTTAAACTGAGTCAACAGCGAAACTGTTTTTCAATACAATTTTGTTTGAAAGCCTCACATACAAAAGCTTAAAAGTAAAATTTCTGTAGGTGAAGTGAGGTTTGGTGGCCTGGCAAACACCTTGCCCCTCCAGCCCTATCCCCCAGAGCACGAAGACTAGGGCTCTACAGAGGAGATTTTACAAACCGCTGGACTAGACAAGCTCTTTCAGGTTTTCTTTATTGCTAAGATTTTGTTTTCAGGAGCATAATTTTATGACTTAAAATATTCCTATCACTTTGGGGTTGATTCTTTGATTTTAGAACCTATTATTATGTGAGTTGCATTTGATGCTAAATCCTTTAATTACGCTTTTCCTTAAGGACAAAAGATTCCTCTGTATTAAGATGCAGTTTCTAAAGGAAGAGGGTATAGTTCAGTGGTAGAGTGCATGCTTAGCATGCAGGAGGTCCTGGGTTCAATCCCCAGCACCGCCATTAACATAAATAAATAAAAACCTAATTACCCCCCTCCCCACAAAAAGATGCAGTTTCTAGAAGTATATTAAAACAAAAAGTGAAGATCTTCATCTTGATTCATGATATGTAGTTTCAAATACTAACCGTGCCAATTAAAAACAGTAACAACAAATACTTAGGGAACACCACTCTGGAGGCGAGGCACGGTGCTGGGTACCTAGGGATACAAAGCTAAGTGGGCTCTAAGAGCTTAGACTCTAATGGGAAAAGGCATGGATACAACCAATAAGGCAGAGGGAGATACACATTGTGATAAAGGTAAAAAAAATGTGCATATATAAAAGAACAGAAGCCTTGAATTGTAACTGGAGGCTTTTGACAAGGATTCACAGAAGAGGGACATTCAGCTATCTTAAGGGATAAACTGAAGTTCTGATAACAGGAGCAGCACAAAAAATACACAGCTGGAGAAAACAGGGTAAGCAAAGGTTTGAGGTTTTGTGTCTGCAGGGCAGCATACTTAGGAGGGTGTTTTGGAAGATGAGGAAAAGTAGGGCAGAACTGCTATTCAGTTTTTGAGGGATGAGAGCTAGATTACTTACAAGATTTGGACTTTAAAGACAAATGAAGCACCAACTAAGATGAGCTGGTAAATCACATGAGCTGATTTCCATTTTAGAAAGGCAGCTCCAGGAGGAGGTAAACGGTGCAGTAAAGACTGAAGAACGGGAGAATGGAGACTGCGGTAGGCAGAGGCAGGGGGCTGTTTCATAGCCATCTCCTCTCGAAGCTCCTCCCCCTCACTCTTTAAAAAAACTTGCACCCTTACTTAATGCCTTCTACCCTCTGTCCTTTTTATTCTGCACACTCCTCTGCTCCCATGGATTCGACCAGTATGGATGACTTCCAAATCAATACCCTGAACCCAGACAATGACCTGGCAATTGTCAGTTTTCAGTAAATCTTGTAAATACAACAGTTTTTCTGCAGATGCACTTGGAGTCAAACATTTTCATCAGAACTGCCTTGCCAAGTCCGAGTTTTCAGCAAATCTCTCCCAAGTCCCGTAGATGCCCATGAGAGGTCTACATTGGCTACTGCAGGTACTACAGACATCGAGTCTCAGATGGAAATTCCCCTTCAATTCTTACACACCAAGATGTTCACATTAGAAACCTAGATTTCTCGTTTTCCTTCATATGGATTTAGTCACCAAACCCCACTGTCT